AAGGGATGAAAAATGGCCGATTTTTTTTACCATTGATGGTAACGTCGGCCGCTTGAACGACCGAATTTTCGTTTTTTAAAAGAAAAATCTGCCGTTTTTCTCCCCATCTATGGCCTGCATTAGAATCTGATTAGCTATCATACACAGCTGCACCAGAGTTTGCACTCTACAGTTTTATTAAGTCAAACCTATAGACTGCAATAATAGCCTAATTAACCACTTGCCTTCCAAAGGATTTAGCCCCTTCATGACCAGCCCATTTTTTGCATTAAAGCACTGCATTATTTTAACTGACAATTGCGCAGTCATGCAATGCTGCACCCAAATTAAATTTACTTCCTTTTTTTCCCACAAATTGAGCTTTCTTTCAGTGGCATTTGATTGCCTGTGCATTTTTTATTTTTTGCTCTATAAAAAAAAAACAATTTTGAGAAAAAAACATTTTTGACTCTTTGCTATTAAACGTGTCCAGTAAAAAAAAAAATGCCAAAAATCTAATTTCATCATAAATTTAGGCCAAAATGTATTCTGCTAGGTCTCTGCTAAAAAAAAAATCTCAAGACGTGTATATAATTTGGTTTATTATTATTATTATTATTATTACACAGGACTTATTTATGTGAAAGTTATAGCGTTTACAAATGGCAGTATATTTACTGGGATTTTTTTTTCTATTTTTACTAGTAATGGAGGTGATCAGTGACTTATAGCAGGACTGCGGCGGGCATTCTGACACAGTGACACAAATACAGTGATCAGTGCTAATAAAAAGCACTGACCCAGTACTAATGGCACTGGGCAGGAAGGGGTTAACATGTGGGGTGATCAAAGGGTTAACTGTGTGCTGTTTGTAACTGTGTGGCTGTGTTTGTGCTTCACTGTAAGCACACTGCTTTGCATGGCTGTGCAATGCACAGCCATGCAAAGCAGTGCACAGGAGCTGACAAGGGAGAGAACTGTTCTGTTTAAAAACAGTTCTCCCCCCCGTTGGAGATGCTTGGCAATCACGGGGCGCCAGCGAGTAATCACCGGCCTGGGACCCGTTGATTGACAGCCAAGGCCGCGAATGGCGGCGCGGGTAGGGCATACATGCCCCCTACCCAGAAATGCAAAATCACATATATATATATATATATATATATATATATATATATGTGTGATTTTGTGTACCCGTGTCGCCCTGTAGCAGTACTTCTGCTATACTGCAGACAGGAAGCGGTTAATGAAAAAAAGGATTTTATTGCAGTCTGTACCATATTGGAGAGATTTCCCCTCACTTCCTGACTGGAAGGGAGGAGAACATTGGTCACAGGAATTTCAGTCAGTTCCTTTAGCTAGAGTTAAGCTTCAGCAGACTTTGAATATGTCATATTGGATGTAATATTTCTTACAGAGTTGGGCTTGATGTTCGAGTCGAAAGTAAGTTTGACTTGAACATTGGCTGTTTGTTTGTTTGTTCGGAGAACACATGAACGGTAAGGGCGTTTGGTGGGCTGTTCGCCTGCCATGTCCCACAATGCACTGCACCCTGACAGTGCACTGCGATTGACCAAAGCCATGCACCTGACCACAGGTCAGGAGCAATGCTTTGGCCAATCACAGTGCATGATGATGTCACAAGGGGCGGGGCCACCCAGTTTACATCATCGGGTGGTTCCTGACCCTTAGATATTTAAGAACTGTCAGGCTGGCACAGCTGTAGATGGTGGGAATCAGCATCAAGAGAGGAGCCTTTTTTTTTTGTTTCTTTTTTGGGGTCGATGGTGGTGGTGGGCATCGTGATTGCTGTTGGATCTACTTCAGGGACCTTTTTTAACTATTGTTTTAATAAAGGATTTGTCAAAAGACTGTCTTCTGTCATTTTTTTACACACTTTGTTTTTTGTGAATGAGTAGCGGTACCATGTACCCCATACTAATTCACATAGGGGGGCTAGGATCCGGGGGCCCCCTTGTTAAAGGGGGCTTCCAGATTCTGATAAACCCCTGCCCGCAGACCCCCACAACCACCGGCCACGGTTGTGGGGAAGAGGCGCTTGTCCCCATGTTGATGATGCTTTGGGGGGGAGCCCCCCTTCCCCAAAGAACCCCCTATGTTGAGGGCATGTGGCCTGGTATGGTTCAGGAGGGGGGCACTCGCTCGCTCGTCTCCTCCCCTTTCCTGACCTGCCTACATGCTCAGATAAGGGTCTGGTATGGATTTTGGGGGACCCCCGCATCATTTAGTTTTTAATTTTGCCATGGAGTTGCCCTCAAAATCCATACCAGACCCGAAGGGCTTGGTATGGATGGGGGGGGGACCCCCTGCCGCTTGAAAAAAATTTTTTTAACTGCCGGCAATTTTTTTACATTCAGCTATCCGTGGGGAACCCTGCTAACAGCTGAAACATTAAAGAATGTTTTCACTACTAAAATACTGCATGTCTATAACTCATGTGGTATTTTAGTAGCTGTGCAGTATCTTACTGCATATTGGATGCGCTAAGATACTGCATAGTGAATTGTCCCTGTTCGAAGTTCGCGGTCGAACGTTCATTAGGTTCAAACGTTCGACCGCAAACCGAACAGGGGGTGTTCAGCCATCACTAATTACTTTATAAATATATTACATATATTAAAAGCTTAATCAAGGATACAAAACAGGGCACATAATAAATGCTATTTACTAATGACTTAACTGCCCTTCCTATCAAAATGAAAGTGGTTGTAAAGGTAAAAGGTTTTTTTTACCTTCATGCATTCTATGCATGAAGGTAAAAAAACCTTTGGTGTGCTGCTCCCCCACAGCCTCCCCTAATACTCACCTGAGCTTGCTATCGATCCAGTGATGTGCACAAGAGCCTCAGCTGTCATGTGATTCCTTCTCCTCATTGGCTGAGACAGCAGCAGGAGCTATCCGTTCCCACTGCTGTCAATTGCAGCCAGTGGGCCAATAAGGAGAGAGCAGGAGGCAGGGCAGAGCCACGGCTTTATGTGTCTTATGGATGCATAGAGCCGGTCTCGAGAGTGAGCACACACCAGTGTTCCCATAGCAAGCAGCTTGCTATAGAGGGCACTGGTCGAGGGGGAGGAGCCAGGAGTGCCATCGGGGGACTGAGAAGAAAAGCATTGCACAGAGCAGGTAAGTATAACATGTTTGTTATTGAAAAAAAATTACAAACCTTTAATACCACTTTGCATTCTTAGCATGTTTGCAGAAAACCTTTTCAAATTCACTGTAATCAGTTCCACTGCTACCAGCTGAAGACTGGTAGGGTACACCTGTGTCCTGTATGCACGTCCATATTGGTATGCACGTGTAAGAGCTTCCAAAGTCCTTCCATGAAGCCAAGCTTTCCTATGTAAAAAAAAAAGCTTGTTGTGTGATGTAATTTTGCCAACAGTAAAGGTCATACAAATTAGCAGCCAGAATGATAGTTTGCAAGTGTTAAAGCCAATAAGACCTAAGAGTTTATAAACCCTCTTGATTTACCTAGCATCAAAAGTAACTTAGGAAAGGAATCGATAAGAGATGTTCCATGACAACTACATGTACAGTACATTACTCTAGCTAATATGGACATTCTTAGCAATGAAAAGTATTTAAGGGACTTTCTACAAGCCAACCATTAAATCATACTATATCTTAACATAAAAATGAAAAATTGTAAATAAAACAAAAATTGTATAAATTGCAGCTTGTAAATCCTTAGATGGTGAGGCTGCATTAGTTTTCTGTTTTTAGTTTTTTTATTGTCTTCCAGTGATTCAACCAACAACACACTTACTGTCTTAGGGTGGCTCCTTTATTTATGGAGTCTACCTTGGATAGCAGCATTGTCTGATGAGGGTAGTGTTGGATGGACCAGTATATTTCAATGGATTTTACATAAATGAATAACAAATTAAAGCCCAATTTCAGGTAACACTTTTTAAGCAGTTACAGAAACCATTTTTTGTTTTTGTTTTTGGATAAAGCTTTTAACTATATGAACGAATGCTCACTACTGTAAGCACCGCTGTCAGTATTACATGGTTTCTCTTGACCCTCTAACTTCCAATTTTGCTGCACGGCTTGGTCTGTTAAAGGAGGTTGAAAAATAACAGCAGGATTAACAGGTAAAACAAAACTAAGCCATTGGGGGACTCAAAACTGCTTTGTTAATTCTAGTGATAGACTGCATCATATGTCATTTTTTATTTTACCTTTAGTACCACTTTAAGGGTTCACTATGCAATGAATTGTATGCATTTTCAGTATCATTTCATGTTCTTTCCTCTTACAAATGTCATGTTAAATATTATAGAGCAGTGGTTCTCAAACTTCCTAATGTCGTGACCCTTTAATACAGTTCCTCATGTTGTGGTGACCCCCAACCATAAAATTATTTACCCAGTAATTATAATTCATGAGTGTCGTTTTACCTCCAATACTGCTGCTTTCAACACAGTAGCTGCTTTTAACAGAGTAGCTGCTTTCAACACAGCAGCTGCTTTCTACACAGTAGCTGCTCTTTACACATCGGAAATATGTGTTTTCTGATGGTCTTAGGGGACCCCTGTGAAAGGGTCATTCGACCCCCAAAGGGGTCGCGACCCACAGGTTGAGAACCACTGTTATAGAGAGTAATGGTGTGCTCATTTTCAGGTTCAGCATTAAGGTACCCATCTTTTTAAGAACTTTCCAATCATCTTTGGAGTTGAAGGCTATATTTGTTGGTTTATACTCATCCTTAATTTGAAACAATGCATGGAAGACCCTATCAGTCCTCCAAGAGACACTTAAATTGCAATGTTTAGATTTCTATTTTATAAAATCGACTAATTTTATTAAATTGGTGATAGATTGTTACCAGTCCTAAAGTGTGTTTAAATTATCTTTCAAAATGATTGCAGGTATTCATTTATGGCTTTGTTTTGTCTTGGTAACCTTGTGACTGAACATTCTTGTGAATAAATTGCTTTGTAAACTAACAAAATAGAAACTATAATTTGACTCATGGTTTTGTTTTGCCCCCACAGTACACTGCGCAGTCAGTGAGTGGAGTCCTTGGGGTTCATGTACAAAGAGGGGAAAACATGTGGTTTCAAGCGGGGCAATGAAACAAGAACTCGTGAGATACTACAGCACCCTTCATCACGTGGCACACCTTGCCCGCCAACAAATGAAACAAGAAAATGCATAGTGCAGAGAAAGAAATGTTCAGAAAGGTAATGTATTCTCATTTTGGATTCTCCTCTAAAATGTTTTTAGCCATGCTGGCAAATAGAGTAAATGGACCAGCACCTAAATATTAAATTAATGCTACGTTGTCAGTTTTGCTAGTATAATGAATAGAAAGTCATAACAGAAAGTCATGGAGCAGAATGCTGCTGTTGGAGAACATGCGGCTCTACGATATACCTAACGCTGATCACATGACCAAAATCCTAGGCATCTGGTCCCTTTATCTTTGCAAAGTATAGATCAGCCAGTCAGAACACTCCCCTTCAACAGGGAATAAGTAACCAAAAACGTATGATTTTGGTCATGTAATCATCCCTAAAGAGAGCCTAGGTCAGTAATGTTTTCATGAACAATGAATATTTTAGCCATTTTGTTACTTCGTATATACCAATCTCAGTAAGACTGTTTAGCTGGCTTCAAGTTGCCAGTGGAGTATATGTCTACTTTCATGATCTGCCTATTTGTTGTGATCTTTAGCATTACCGTTTATAAAAGTATTATTATTGTTTTAAATTTATATAACATTGATGTTACGTTTGATGTAAAAAGCAGTGCAGAACTGAATGTACCGTATATAAAAGGCATAAAAATGTATTTATAGTTTTTATCATTTTAAAAGGGATAATCCAGCTTGTAACATGTGGTTATCAAACAATATAAATGCAACACAACTAGCACATTGTGGTATTTTGTAAATGAAGCTCTAAGATGAATCAAACAGCAGAGGCATTGTCATTATTTCTATCTGCAACTCAGGAACATGCTCTGGTTGGCACTACAACAGTCAAGCCCTAACAACCTTCTTCTTGGTAGCATGACATACAGTATTCCAAAGTTTATAAAGGCCATTCAATTGATGCATTGCTGCTCTGTGAGAGTTTACAGTAACCTGCCATGAAATGTAGTTGTTTTTGCTACTTTGTCTAAACTCCCCAAAAAACCAGAGGAGCAGGTCCCTATCCAGTCATAATCCAAATCAGTATGTACCAGGCTCAAGCTATTGATTTACCACCAAGACAAATATAGTCTCAGATCATTTATCGGGCAACTGATAGCACGAAAACCCTAATTCTGCATAACAATTTAAATCTAAAGGGATATCAGAGAGAAAACAGAAAAGCTTTTTTTTCTTTAGTCTGGTCATAAAAACAAAATACTGGCTGGAATTAATTTCAAATTTATTATACACAGTAAAGTTTAGCAGTAACATTTTGTCAATGGATTATTCTACTTTCCTAGCGATAGTAGTTTTAGTGGAGGATGATGTGTATGAATAAATACGACTTAGAATATTACTATCTGCTGGCACAACAGAAAAGTTTCCATCCTTGGACATTAGTAGTTTTGGTTTTGTGTTCCTGGCAAGCTGTATACATATTGTGCTAGAGAGAAAATCTGTAAATCCAATGGAAAAAAAAGACGAGCTGTCTAAATTATTTATGAATGCTATCGGGATTTATATGAGTCTAGGTGATCAACATGCCGGAATTAGAAACTATATGGAATCCCCCATTTTACAAGCAAGTTGTTAATTCCTAATATACTCCCCTGTCAGAGAAATAGATAGTTATATATAGAGCATATGTGTGGCTCGACTGGGTGGGAGAGCAGCAGTTACATGCAATGTTTGTGAAATTTCTAGGCAGAGGATTTGATAAGTATGCAATTGGCTTACACTCGCTGTGTTTTATCATACTTTGATTGGAGTTCAAAAATATGCTGAGGAAAAATTCCCAAAACCATGCATCAAGATTAGAGAAAATGTTACTTTAGCTGGAGATAATGTAACATAATACCGAGAGGCTTAAAATATTAAGTGTTAAATTCCCTTCTCATCCACCCACTCACACTCATCACAGACACAATCTGATGTAACACAGAAGGGCAAAAGACAACCATCACGTTTAATGATGTGCATGATGATAATGCAGAATGAATCCGCTATATTCAGCTATATTTCTTCCTGTCAATAAATAAATCGAGCTCAATTGTGTCACTAAGCTGCCTCTGATCTATTCTGTAACTTATATACATTGGGTAGACTTGTCAAATGAAATAGTGAGTGATATTTTTATTGCTAGTTGAAACAGAGTCCACGCGGTAGTATTAGTTCACTTTGGTACACAGCTCCATCCACATGTTTTGGAAGCATTTGGGATATAGTCAGGAAATTAAGAAAGAGAATAGAGAAATCTTGCACACTTACAATTTTATCTAGTAAATTTTATTAACATCTAGCATTACCAAAAAATTGTATACAGATCACCAAAACATTCCATACAATAAAACATTAAACCAGGCATTAAAGTATCTCTAGGCAAAAGATATTTGTGAGGACGCCCTGGAGGAGGGGTGAAACGCGTTGACGCAATTTCTGGTTCCGGCAAGGTTGTATGGCATCACATCCGGTGAGTGGAGCACACGCGAAGAGCGGCACTCCGGAAGCCATTTTGACTACCGTTGTATTGAGGTTGAAGGCTATGGATAACATAGTATTTCAAGGCTTAGTTAATGTGAGTGCAATGTGTATCACTGTTTTATTTGAATAAAGAAGCTCAACAATATTACACTATTAGTGTTTTTCCTGCTTCTGCCCACATGGTGAATTTTGGAATACATTGATGAATTGCACCTATACTCCATTGAACCCTGGATATCTCTGTGACCACATCTCACCAGTAATAAGCGTTTTTTGACTCTTAAGCCCTAAAATCTAGGAGTCCATCATATCTGGTGAGTGTGGAATACACAAGGGAGGGATCACTGAGCACTACGTGGTGTAATTACCCTGTGGTTTTTGAGGAACGGCATATATATATATATTTTTCGGGACTTTCCTCTTTTGGCATGGATTTCTTCTATTGGAGCACATAATCACGGATCATTTTGGGTTGTGGACTTTCTTTATACTAATTATTTTTTTTGCGCTGTGTTATTGATTATTTTAAAAGATAGTTCTTCTGTTTTTGGACCCTTATTCAGTTTAGGGAGCCTTTTGTGGTTAAATAATGGTGTCAGAAGAAGTGGATTTCAGTGTTTGCCTTGTGTGATTATCAGTGCCTTTGGATTGTGAGCACAGATGGGCTCTTGTTCTGCAGCGGTGAAGAGTCATAGGTCTGGAACAGTGCAATTCACGTTGGGTGTTTTATCTACAAATTGCTATCATTATTCTGTAAAACAACCTCCATATACCTTATGCATATGTATTTCATGAAGGTCATGTGAATGGTCCAGGTTTTAGCTCTGTGGGATGGAGACAGAAATAGAGAAGGAAGCTTACCGGCTTCCACCGACGTCATGTATCCCAGGAGGTCTGTAGTTCCATGCAAATTAGGGAAGCATTGTAATACGGTAGGTGGAGTTATTGACATCCCTATACCATCCCTACCTACAGCTATCCATTTAAAGGTTTAGACAGGAGACAAAACTGCCATCACATGCTGACTGTAGGGCATTGCTGCCTGTGACATGGGTAGCTGAAAGATGAAGACCCAGGGCTTGATCTTCCCAGGATTGGGAGCATGCATGTACACTGCAGTGGCAATGTTGCAAAGGCTCTATGAGCTGTCAGATCTATGTCACTGGTTTGAGTGACTGGCGGGATCAGCAAGTAGTTTCTATCAGAGGAAATTGTAACTATAAAGTTGGAAATTGTAAAGCGCTGAGGAAACGGCGCTATATAAATCTTGTATAATAATAATAAAAAACAATGTGCCCTGAGAAGTTATAAAAATTATAAGGAATGTTTTTTACAGGGTGGGGAGGTGGGTTATGACCATTTTAAATTATTGTAAGCTTTGTAATGTTAGGGCATGAGACTGTATCTGAAACATAATTTTTTTGTATAACCTAGTGTTTCATTTAGATCCACTAATCTCACTTTTGCTGCGCTCCCTTGCTACTCTTAATCAGGGGCGGACTGACCATTTGGAAACCCGGGCACTGCCCGAGGGCCCGGGGTCAGTAGGGGGCCCCATGAGATGCCCCTGGTACCTTTTTCATAGGCTTTTTTGAGTTTGGGCAAGGACACAGGGGCCCCATGATCCCCTATTGCCCGGGGGCCCCATGAGTTGTCAGTCCGCCCCTGCTCTTAATGTTAATTTGTCAAAGCCCTTAGGAAATACCAGTGCTTCCAGGTATATGGGAGCATGTGACCTTCTTCCCTTCCTTACAGGATGCAGTGCTTTGGCCTGAGCAGCCAATCCATAGGCCAGAATATTGTCAGGTGAGAGGGGGGGATGTCAATAACCCTGTATAAGCTCCAATACTATTAAACATGGAGCTTGCACTGGGTATGGACGCCTGGCTCTGATAGAGAGCGAATACAGTGCTCAGCAAAGGTTAGGTGGAGCGCTATTCTTTCAAGAAACTCTGTCACTTGGCCATGAATGTGTAAAGTGACAGAGTCTCTTTAAATAACTCCCACCATCGTAAATTTCATGGTATGAAGTGAATTAATTACTGTTAGTGACATTAAAACAAATTTCTGAAAATATATTGTTTGATCTAGAGCCTTAGCTGTCATCAGTTTGCAAAAATCTTCCATGTGCGTCATTCAACTGCTTAATGTAATAAAATCATATGTCTACATTTAAAATACAGAGACTACAAACATCATTTTACTTTAAAAATAAAAATGTTTAGCTTACAAAATCAACAGGAAAATTAGTTCCTAATCTCACAGTTTACGCAGCGTGGAAATAAATGAGTTCTGGTATATTTCCGGTTACTTTATCAAATATGACAGCATAAACAAGGCACAGTGGTGTCAAACACTCAAATGTAGGAGTTTTTTTTAAAGGTAACCGCTATGTGCTGCTAACAGAGCTGTCATTATGACATTTTAACTGGATAGTCAGTGTTTTTGTGCACATTATAGGCATGGTTCAGAGCAAGAGGACATGTTAATCAGTGAAAAAAATAAACACGTAAGCCCCCATGTAGCATTATGAACACTAATCAGAGTCAGAACAGCTTGTAAAAT